AACATCCACTTCATTTATTTTTAATTGAACTTATGTATTTATATAAATCACTGAATTTTTCGTAGAGATGTTAGGCTAAATTAGATTTAATTAGACTACAGATGGTTTTTAGTTGGATGTTGTGTTGTTGTTGCTATGTGGTATTATGATAGTTTTAATTTGCTTATTAGATTTAAGGTTAAATATAATAATTCTAAATTGATGTTTAGGTATGTAAGATATGCTAGTATCTAAATACATGCATAATTAAGAATAGTTAATTTAGTATCTAAATACATGCATAGTTAAGGATAGTTATTAACTTAGGATAAATAAAATTCTATATGAGACACATGTTTGGTTTTTAACTACTGTTATATAGCTGAAGCAGCGTCTCATATAGAGTTATATAATTAATTTAAGTTTTAATATAATTTCATAGAAATTTAGCTCTCCTCGTCGATTCATTGTCTGGTTTGCGATCAACGTATTGAACGTTTTGCAAAGATATAATGGAAGAGCTATTTATTCACAACAACGATCAAGGTATTGAACGTTTTGCAAAGATATAATGGAAGAGCTATTTATTCACAAATTCACGTTTTAAATTAGTAAATTTTTGTTCATAAAAGGAGGGGTGAATAGGTTGCGATTAGGATGAGTCCTCATTCGCAGCACCTCCAGGTAGAGACTTGGGCAATCGGTATTATTTGATATGTAATTACTAATTGTATTATTATGTAGCTAAACAATTAATTATATAGTTAATACAATTATTAATTATATAACAAGTAATATAAACCAATTGGATCTCAATTAGGATCTTAATTAGATTTGTATTAGATTTACATATCCATTAGAGTAATAAAAAGTAATATATATTTTTAACAGATAGGTGATTGATTTACAAGTGTATGAAAAATATTTATGCATTTTTCGTAGAAGAATGTTTTAGAAAATTTAGAATTGATTATTTCTTCTACAATGATTATATTTGTAAATGAAAAGGTTGTTCTTTCTTCTTCTCTTTAATTTTGCTCATATTATATCGAACTTTTGACCTAGAAAATTTATTTGAGCTGACAGGTCTTTTAATTTTTAAATATGCAGAATAATCGTCTTCAGCATAAGTATCATAGGTGAGATATAGATATCTAATCGACAAAAATCATCGAAATCAGTTAAAAAAATTGAAAATTAAAGTTGAACTAGCGAATTTATTTTCGAAATAAATAATTGTCATATTCGATTTTAATTCCTACTATGATGTATTGCTTTTCTTGGAATAAGAAATTTTTGAATAAAGATCAACAACAATTAAAATGTTTGTAAATATTTTTGTTTTATTATACAAGACACTTATCCCTAAAATATTTAGATATTTATACATTCGTTATAAGCTGAATAGTTCATTAATAAAGAGCTTTTTAATATCTTTTGTAAATGTATCCAAAAATACCATACGCACAGTACATAATATAATTTACTTTAATCTAACGATATAATTTTTAACAAAGATTCAATTAAATTGTAAAGATGTAATAATTCCAACAGCCAAATAATTCCAGCAAACGAAGTAAAATGATTCGAAACTTTCATAAAATATTTCGATCGATTGCGATTTTTTTGTGCTTGAATGGTTATTTATATATATGTAACTGTGTCAGTTCTATGGGATATTCGACAATTTGTACACCAACTACAGATATTCCTCGAATTATAATATAAGGCAGTTGATTAAAATCGGTCGTGAACACATTTTTCAATTTCGACAAACCTTGTTATATTTATAAGCTCTTTCAGCTTTTAAACATTAATCAAAATTCAGACTTATTCTTTGATTAAAAGAGTTATTTCTCATAAAGACGAACATTACACATGTGGAGGAATATTTCATAATTTGTGTGATTACGAATGGTGCGTTTATTATTGTGCTAACGAAAATTAATATCTAAGGATTGTAATAACTTTGTTATTTAACGAGGGACATGTAAAAGTTCTACAATCATTCTAGAATTGAAAGATCAATATGTAAATATGAGAATCGTGAAAAATCATTATATATTGTGTGTTCTAGAAGTTCCTTTGGGTAATACACAGAGTATAGAAGATTTTATTTCATATAATCCTTGGCATTAAGCAATATCAAGATACTTATTTAAATCATCAAAGTGTAATTGTAAAATATAAAATGGAGCATATTTATATACATTTACTTTTTTAGGGACTTTGTCTCTTCATATATTCCACAATATACGTTCAACAATCGTCGAAGATTTTCTTCATCAAACGTTGGGACATTAACTCATTATTATTCGTGAAAGTAGCTATGCTGGAAGACTAGATTAATAATGTCTACAAAGTTTAACAGTAAATTCTATAAAATTCAACCACTTTGTTCAAATAGCATCAAGTCGTGATCAGCCTGCACTTCAATGAGTAATATGACATACAATATTCTCATCCTTAAGTAAAACAAATTATTTCCATCATCGATACAAAATTTTCCTATCGAATCAAGCAGATCACATAAATCATCCATCAATTTATCATTATTGTTATACCAAAACATTAGAGTTTCTATCATTATCTACGATATTCGCTTTTGTTTTCGGTAATTTTTGCAATGATTATTTGGATTTACAGTTGTCTAACTGAATTAATTTGGTATTGATATAAAACGTAAATCGTGTCATCAATTTATCCATCTTTATCATCATTGGATCCAATACATCAGAATTTCATGCTAAGTTTTATATTTGTTTTTGTTTCTAGCAATTTTCTTTGGATTTATTCTTATGTACAGTTATCTAATTGAGTGGATCTAGCATCGATATAACCATCATTTTCCATCGTAAAATTCAAAAGACCTTTGTGTCTTTGACGGGCAAGTCAAATCCAGTTTCAAAGTGTAGGCGGTTGTAGTGTTCGATTCGTGACAAACTCGTATCTTTGAACGATCACGAAGCTCGTTTTCTGAACCTGCAGGCTACAGGCGAGGAATCATGTTATCGTACGATCCTCGAGAGTAAAACGAATCTCTTCGACCAGAAATGTGAGAATGGCTGATCTATCAGATACCATGATCGAATTCATGATATCCCTCGGCGCCAGTGAACACAACGTCCACCCAAACTCTCATTGCCTCTGGACTCGGGGCCATTAAATGATACAGTCTAGACGACGTTTTGATGATGAAAGTCAGTGATGGCTGCGGCGATCGTACGGTATTCATGTGGTCCACGTAGACTTCTTCGATCGACTAAACATAAAAGAATATTTCGTACATTATTTTATAATAATTTTATAATAAGTTTTTTTTTAATAAAAAAAACTTCACGTTAAGTTTTACAAGTACAGTGCCGTCATGCACATGCAGGGAACTCTCTTCGTTTATCTCATTTCAGTTTTATGAGTACAAGTCGCCTTTTAACCCACTTGACTCTTTGAATTAAGTGGTCACAAGTGTAATAGTACCAATATTAGGTTTCACGGAAAAATTTATCGTTTTCTTCGGGGGCCAAAAAATAACAGTTACCTCAAAAATTTTTATAAAAGAAATTACAAAATGTGAGAATAGAAAAGCTCCAAAATTTAAACGTTGATTACAAATAACGTAAGTGATCGAAAATTTGTTTCATTGTTGATAATCGTTATTGACGAGAGGTTTATAGTAATTATCAATGAAAGAAATTCTATGTTGATTGCTCTTAGTAATTATAAATGATGTTTATATATATCCTCGTTTATTTTTTAGGACATTATTATTAGTTTTAACATACTTTTAGGACATTATTTATCGTAGATAATAAAAATTTTATCACACGTGTATTTTGCAGTGCAGTTATAAATATATTTTTTGAGCAGATTCTTTGTTATAATAAAAGTATTAGTTAATTTTTTAACTTTCAAACAAGCACAATGCTTGTCCTAAAACTTTCAAGCGAGGACGTACAATTTAATGTAGGTGAATGATATAAAAATTTATTTATTCGTTCGATATTTTATTAAATGACGTGTTATTTGATTTGCAACATAATTGCCATATATAAAGAAATATATATATACCTGAAAATATATCACCCCTCGCGCCTTTCTGGACGAGCTGTCGCTGTAATACGACAACGTCTTCCTCTTCCGATCAAAGACGAACCACCGTTTGTTCCAGTGATGGAACTTCTTGCTCATTTTTGACAAGTAACCACTGCAACTGGTCGTATCGACCGTGACATCGTGTATCAGAGGTAACTGGTGCCCGGCAGTTTCAATATGATGCCTCAGGTCCAGCGACTCCGACTTGATGGGAAGGTATCTCGTGAGCGGCCTCTGAGCCCATAAATCATTGAATTTACGAACCGTGAAACCAAGTGTCAGGTTGAACGATAATACTGTTACGTGTCGAAATGCGTGAAAAGTTGAATTCGAAATGTTGCACGCGAACCATTCAGTTTTAATACATACGCCATCGGTCAAAAATATTTGGCCCAAAATCGTTTGCGTTTTGACTGAATTTAATTTAATCTAATATGTGAAATTTATACGGGGCAGAATATTGAATTACGCGAAAAATATTACGTTACAATATATAAAAGTGAATGCACGTTGTCTAGTTGTTTATATTGTTTAAAATTTCTCTGCCAATGATAGTCATCTTGTTTCAATTGCTCGAGAATATTTAAGAATGATTATTTTAATCACGAGACTCGATAACAATAATTATAATAATAAATGTTATTTGAATTATTCTTAAATATTTGCTATTGTTACCACGGTGGCGATCAGTATGTTAAGTTAATATAATATCTTGCATTATTGTGAATTCAAATATCTAATAATAAAACAATGTACACAGTATAGAGTATACACAGGTTGCAAAACCTGCTTCTGCAATGGCTTCATTATTATCTTTACAGCTATCGTCAATTGGAAAATCCATTGACATACTTTAATGACCCCGACACGTCATTTATGATCAATGACGTAGTCGACGGTGAAGCTTCTTACTCGTCAACATCATTAATGCTAATTCGAACTATTATTTTATGTCAGACACAGTTATTTTACGTATTATTTTACTATCTGATTTTCCAATTTTTGAGCGATAGTTTATTATTGCGAATTCCTCGAAATCTCAAGGAATTAAAAGATGACTCTCGGACAATTGTGCAATTGTAAAATAAATATACATTAGGAAAATGTATATTTAGTAAGTAAACATTAGGGAAAAAAGTTGCAGGTTCGTAATAATATGTATTTGTAAATACATTTATCTCTTCAATTATTATATGATAAAATAATTTTGAAAACTAATACACTCGATGA